ATCTATTATTCATCAGGTATTCTTTTTATCTTTATTAATTATTTTTTTTAGTTATATTTTTATCACTTAGGGCATTTTATAAATTTGTCTTAATATTTTTGGTATCACCAACTGTTTATAACAATTATTTCTTTTTCTTTAACTTCATATAGTCAGATTACTGTACTTCTATAAAAGGAAAATAGGTACAACCGAAGAAAAAAGAAATAATTGTTATAAATAATTGATGATAGAATGTCTAAGTTTCAAATTTTTTCCAAATTTTTATTTAATAGATAATATTAACTTTCTTTTTTACAGGAAACCAGGACCATCACCAGGAGCTGTTTCATGAGGGCGTTGCTCTTCATCATTCGCCGAGGGATCGTAACACGGGCCGGGAGTGTTCTGGAGCGTCCAGGTTTGGACTAGGAGGTCCCAACACTCGGAACCTCGGGATTTCCGAGATACCGAGTCTTGGAAACTCCAAAGTTCGAATCTCGAAGCCTCCAAAGCTAAGGCATTGGAGACTTTGGGATTCGTATTTTGGAGTTTCTGGGACTCAGTATCCCGGAAGTCCCGACTTTCGTGTGCTGGGACTCCTAGTTCGAATTTGTACGATCCCGTTTTCGGGCGTTGTACCGGACGGTCTTCGAATTAACAAAACCTTCCGCGCTAAACCTGGTAGACGTGAAAAATTTTTTTTGTCTTTTTAATTTAAAAAAAAATAAAACACATGGGCCTTCTATATCTCTTTTATTTTGTTTACCCTCTCCCTCCCCTGTGTCATTCACACCCGCATTCGCTCTCGCATTCACGCACTCATTCACACCCTCATTCGCAGACGCACTCCCCCATTCATTCCACTCGTAATGGGAGAGAATGGGAATGCGTAAGGGTGAACGGAACGGAACTGTGACCGTTAACCCCCATTCATTCTCATTCTCTCTCATTACCATTCGCTCAGCATTCATTCCTACCCTCTTGCATACCCCCACTCGTAATAGAACAGAATAAAAAAAGATAAGGGCAAACGAGTCACTGTTTACCCTTATACAGTCTCATTCTGTCCCATTACCATTCTTACTACTCATTCTTACCCTCTTGGACACCACCATTCTTAATAAGACAGGATAAGAAAGCATAAGGGTGAACGGAACTGTGACCGTTTACCCCCATGCGTTCTCATTCTCTCTCATTACCATTCTCTCAGCATTCATTCTTACCCTTTTGCAAACCCCCACTTATAATAGGACAGACTAGGAATGCATAAGGGTTAACGAGAAGTGACTGTTAACCCTCATGCATTCTCATTCTCTCCTGTTACCATTCTCTCAGCATTAATTCCTACCCTCTTGCATACCCTCACTCATAAAAGGATAGAATAAGAATGCATAAGGGTTAACGAGAAGTGACTGTTAACCCTCATGCATTCTCATTCTCTCCTGTTACCATTCTCTCAGCATTAATTCCTACCCTCTTGCATACCCTCACTCATAAAAGGATAGAATAAGAATGCATAAGGGTAAATGAGTGACTGTTTACCTTCATGAACTCTTTTTCTTCCCTCTTACCATTCGTTTATCACTCATCACATTTTCACCCTCATTCATACCTGCACTTTAATAGAAGAGCTTTAACCCCATGCTTTCCTATTCTTCCACTAATATTCTCTCACCTGTAAACACACCACCCCATAGCACATTCTAACGAGCACTTTCACTCATATTCATTCTCCATAACACCCTTACATTCATACTGTCGTTCTCACCCCCGAATAAGTCCCTCTTTTCCCCTGTTTATTATTACAATGTAGTTTATAGAATCATCCAAATAATTAACTGTCCTTAAACTATGTGAAAATATTCTATAACATCGTAATTTAAACGAATAATCCTGCATAAATATAAATCTATGATAAATACATTTCATTTAATTTTAATATAATCTGAAACTAAATTATGTCTGTATTTAAAATGTTAATTACTTACTGAAAATTCATAAATACAATTTAAATCATCCCAATAAACATAAATTATTAATAAAAACAGTTAATTCGTTACAAATATACTCATCACAATTCCAATAGCAAAAGTAGATTTATTGATTTTAATTTTCCCTTGTATTTTATGTAAACATACACCTACGTTTTCCGTAAAATTAATTTAGTAAAAAGCCAATAAAAAGATAAAACTTGTGAACAAGTTAATAAGCAAACATTATTTTGTTAAACTACTCAAATACAAAACGTATAGCTAATGTTAAATTTGGATGAATTGAATAATATTTAATCAAAGAATTAAATTTTTAAAAAAATTAAGAACCAGAAACGATTTAAGGCTTCAGAATCAACAGGTAAGGTTGTACCGGACGGTCTTCGAATTAACAAAACCTTCCGCGCTAAACCTGGTAGACGTGAAAAATTTTTTTTGTCTTTTTAATTTAAAAAAAAATAAAACACATGGGCCTTCTATATCTCTTTTATTTTGTTTACCCTCTCCCTCCCCTGTGTCATTCACACCCGCATTCGCTCTCGCATTCACGCACTCATTCACACCCTCATTCGCAGACGCACTCCCCCATTCATTCCACTCGTAATGGGAGAGAATGGGAATGCGTAAGGGTGAACGGAACGGAACGGATGTTGTCCCTATAGGACTATTATTTTTTGTATTTATGCTCTAAGAGTCATTTGGATTAAGATTAGAATGGAAAATAATATATCAGCGGGTCTAAAGTTTAGTTATAGGGTGCGATACCCTCCAATGCTAAATTATTACTTTTCACGGGAAGTTGTACTTGTTGCAATATTATTTTTTGTTTTTATGTTCTAAGGATAATTTATATTAATATTAGAACTGTATCGGCTGGGCTAAGGATTAGTTATAGGGTGCGAGACCCTCTAATAATAAATTTTATTGGCTTTCATAATTAATACGTATTTTAATTTTCTTTCAGCTGCTTTTGGTTTTTCCTAACAATGGCTAATTAAGACGATCATATTTCAAGAAATAATAGACCGATTGGGGCCATGAAGGTATGTTTTTTTTACTATTTTGAATTTTATTTACATTAGGCTACATAAAAACAGTATTCCAGCACAAGGATAACCCTTGAAAGACTGTTTATTAATATACTTGAGAAGTATAACGCCTCTTTAGGGCATCTTCAGGAATTTTAACATAAACCCTTTGTATTAATAGTTTATATAACTAAACTTTTTACAATAGAGTTTATTAACAATTTTTGTTTCTAAGCTCTAAAACCCATTTAAATATAAAGAAACAATTTGTCAGCGAATCTAAAGCTTAGTTATAGGGTACGAAACCCTCCAATGTTAAATTATTACTTTTCAGGGCAGGTTGTTCTTGTAGCACTATTTTCGCCTAGTATTTATGCTCTGAGGGTCTTTGAATTAATATTAGAGTGGTGAGATGATCTCTTAGAGGGTCTAAGATTTGGTTATAGGATGCGAAGCCCTTCAATGATAAATTATTATTTTTCAGGACAGGTTGTTCTTGTAGCGCTATTATTTTTTTTATTTATGCTCTGAAGATAATTTGAATTAATATTAGAATGGTAAGATGATCTGTCAACGGGTACAACGTTCAGTTGTAGGGTGTGAAGCCCTCCAATTTTAAATTATTACTATTCAGTGGAAGTTGTTCCTACAGGACCATTATTTTTTGTATTTATGGTGTAAGAGTCATTTAGATTAAGATCAGAATGGTAGGGTGATCAGACAATGTGTCTAGATGTTTGTTGTAGGGTGCGAAACCCTCCAATATTAAATTGTTACTTTTCAGGGGAAGTTGTTTTTGTTACATAATTATTTGTTGTATTAATGCTGTAAGGGTCAGTTGAATGAAGATTAGAACGTTAGAAGAGTATATCAGAAGGTCCAAAGTTTAGTTATAGGGTGCGAAACTCTCCAGTGTTAAATTATTACTTTTCAGGGGATGTTGTTCCTATAAGACTACCATTTTTTGTATTTGTGCTCTAAGAGTCATTTGAATTAAGATTAGAATGGTAGGGTGGTCAATCAAGGGGTCTAGAGGTTTGTTATAGGGTGTGAAACCCTTCAATATTAAATTATTTCTTTTCAGGGGAAGTAGTTTTTGTTACATAATTATTTGTTGTAGTAATTCTGTAAGGGTCAGTTGAATGAAGATTAGAATATTAAAATTACATATCATCGGGTATAATGTTTAGTTATAGGGTGCCAAACCCTCCAATGTTAAATTATTACTTTTGAGGGGAAGTTGTCCCTATAGGACTATTAGTTTTTGTATTTATGCTCTAAGAGTCATTTGGATTAAGATTAGAATGGTAGGGTGGTCAATCAAGGGGTCTAGAGGTTTGTTATAGGGTGTGAAACCCTCCAATGTTAAATTATTACTTTTCAGGGGAAGTTGTCCCTATAGGACTATTAGTTTTTATATTTATGCTCTAAGAGTCATTTGGATTAAGATTAGAATGGTAGGGTGGTCAATCAAGGGGTCTAGAGGTTTGTTATAGGGTGTGAAACCCTCCAATGTTAAATTATTACTTTTCAGGGGAAGTTGTCCCTATAGGACTATTAGTTTTTATATTTATGCTCTAAGAGTCATTTGGATTAAGATTAGAATGGTAGGGTGGTCAATCAAGGGGTCTAGAGGTTTGTTATAGGGTGTGAAACNAATACAAAACGTATAGCTAATGTTAAATTTGGATGAATTGAATAATATTTAATCAAAGAATTAAATTTTTAAAAAAATTAAGAACCAGAAACGATTTAAGGCTTCAGAATCAACAGGTAAGTAAAAAAAGCATCTAAAAGTACACTGTAAATAAATTAAAGAAATTTACAATTGGCCAAAAATTTCTAACGCATATTAAAAATCATAAATTCAAAAGGACTTTAGATACAGCGTAAAAGATAGGAACTGGAGGCTGTTTATCTAACTAAAATTACCTTCAATAAATCCACTCATGCTACAAATTTATATTATACAACAAATAAAAAAGAAGCCCGAAGGTAAACTCGCACAAAAGATCCATCTTTCTACCTGTCATGGTTTAAGGGATGTACCGGTATTTCAGAACCAACTCGTTACAACGGAACCTAAAACAACGAAAAAACATTGGCAATAAATACAACCTCAATGTAAGCAATTAAAAGAGCTTACCATTGAAAGAACCCCAACTCCAAATTCTAAGCACCAAACTAAAGGAAAAATTAAGGAAACCTCTGAAAAAAAAAAGAAATAAACATAAAGCACCATAAAAAGGGATGTAAGAAAATTAATCGAATAGAAAAACAGCTTCGCTTTAACTTCCGATTTCAGTTTTATTATTTTACTGAAAAAGAACATATTATAATGCAAATTAATCTTTTTTTTTTTTTGAAAATTCTAATTTTATTTTAGCCACAAAGCACTAGATATTGGAGACGCATTTTTTACAAACTGAATTATCCATTTTTATATAAATATTTAATTCTTTTTATAGTATACCAATTTACAACCCTTCTCTGTCCTTTCCCCTACTACTAAAATTTAATACATGAGCTGAATTTATAAAAGCTGAATTTACTTTAAGTCCTTTACTTTAAATTCGATATAAAATCAGTTTAAACCAACAAAAAGGGCAGACACAGAAGATAAACATCTAAAAAAACAAATTAGGACTTACCTACCAGGGAACCAAGTAACTGGGGAACCAGGTAACTGTCTATTGTTTGATCTAGATCTATTGCATCCTGAAAAGAAAAGAAACAATTGTTAAAATCGAAGTAATACAATCTTTAAATATTAAATAACATAACATTTGTAAAATTAATTTTAATAAAAGCTTATAGAAAGTATACAAGCAAAACATAAAAAATTCTTATAAGCCCATTGATATAAGCACATGGCAGGTATTTATTTGCCTATTGAAAACAAATAAAGTTAATTCAACGATAGAGCTTTCAGTGCTTAAAATTTTTTGCTTCGGCCAAGGGAAACGGTGGACTACGAAATAAAAAATTTCATTGATGCAAAACGTTAGACCACATTAAAAAAGGAAAAGAAAGTTGGACATCGGCCAAGCTGACACAAGCCCCTTCATACGTAAAGAGAAAGGAGCTTTAAAAAGCTCAAAAGCATGTCCTAAATTGATGTCGGTTTTAGAAAAAATTTAGAAAATAATTTAATGTTTAATAATAACGATGTATTACCATTACTTAGCATCTTCCTGTGCTAATTACAACTAATAATATTTACTAACTTACATAAGTATGTTCTTTAATTAAATGTCTACCTTCGATGACGGAAATTTCCAAAGAAAATTACACACGTAATCATCTCAATAATACTATTATAATTAATAAAATAACCATTTCTTTATTAGTTTTTAAAAATCTCAATACCAGTGTAACGTAGGTCCTATTCTTTACTTTTTGATTTTAGTAAGGACTAAACATTACGATATCGTCGCACTAACAGCTATAACATAACTAAGCCGGTAAGAGAATATAATAATAGTAATGACCTTACTGCCAACTTCAACTGTAAAAAATTATATTATTCCTTTAATATAATTATAAATTAATATTTCTTAAAAGACTCGACTCGTAGCTAGAGGCCAGGAATTTCTTTGACGTTTTTTTTACACACACAGTCACAAACGTATAAAGATAGATTATGGATTATATAGTATTCGTTCGTATTGTATTTATATATTTTAATCCACAATCAGCATAAATTGGACGGGCCTTTTCTCTACAGATAAAAGTAATAAAGATAAATTTAGAATTGTCAGTCCTAAATAAGAAACATCCCATTATAACGATTTTTTAAAAAAATTCTTTTTCTTTACTAATAATCCATAATAACTTTTATTACATATTTTTTCCTTTTCTCTTAAACATAACCAATCAGCTTCTCAAATATTCAATCCATATTTCTCTCTATTTAATTCATTTAAGAAAGCGATTATTCACAAATTACGTAAGGGATGTTTTTATAAGTTTTTGACCCCACGTACCCATACGTAAGAAATAAGAAACATAAGGAAAAAGATAAAAAATTGCTTCTCATACTTATTTGAAGAAAATTACCATAAAAGTGATTAATTAATTAGTGAAAATCTAACTTACATATTAAATATGTGGCGAAAGAACTCGTATTGTTTTTTTGGGTGTAAATATATTGTATATACATTTTTTCTAAATTTATTTCTACAATGTAGAGTTCGACTTCTGATCTTTTGCATGCCTTTGTTTTCTTTCTATTTCTATTCTATTGTCCTATACCTAGAAATGTAACTTCAACCGTTTCTGCATGCACCTCTTACTAATAGGCTTTTCCCTTAATTACCTTACCTAAAATTCTATACTGTTCAACCTCTTCAATTCTTCGTATTTCTGTAAATTCGTGTCTTCAACCCCTATTATCAGTCTTTGTCTATCTTGAGTATTCTATCTCTTTTTACTAACATTTACCTATTATAAATACTCCTAACATCCCTATTAATTTCAATTCATCTGTGTTCTCTACATTCGACAGTCTCTTTAGTATGTCTCTTTTCCTGTTGTTATTAATGTCATTGTTATTGTTATTATAATTGTTGTTGTTATTTTTTTGTGTTTTGGCTGTTGTGTTTTACTTTTAACATTTGATTGTTTTGTTGTTTAATTTGTTGTAGGCACGTATAAATTTTTGGTTAATTGTTTAAATTTATAATTATACAAACGACACAAAAAATTTTTATAAATTTTTTGCTCTCCTTCGACTTCAAATAAGAGTTCCTACAATTTATGTGAACCTCTCCTTCTGCTGTCCTTACACAATTTATAGACGACCCCAAAGTATTTCGCCCGAAGACCAATGGTCCTACAAACAAATACGATTGCGTACTACCCTTACTGTCATCCTGTTCGCGGGGGCAACAAAAGCTTTTACTAACCCGCACGCAGATGTTACAAATAAAACCCTTTGACATTCGTACAACCCGCAACTTGCTATTACGGATTCAAAACAATTTCGATAAAGGATGATAATAGCCCCAGGAATTTGAACATGAATGGTGATCAGATACTGCTCGATGAATAGGTATACGAAGCTTCCGGACTGTTTGAAATTGATAGAAAATTGTGAAATACATAATTATTACAATTAACATCTAAAATATCAACGGTTTTTAAAGCAATTTTGTTAAAGAGTTAATAAAAAGATAAATGAAATTTTGTAATTTCTTAAATTGTCATTCTGTGATCCAAGACGAAAGCTCAACATGAAAATCCCGAACAGTCAAATGACGTGGTCCACCAGGAAATCAATTCTAAAGTTGATATCTACTACCTTACTTTCATCCTAAGTCGCATCGTCATCAAAAGAAACGAGATCACAGTTATGTTTCCTCAGAAAAAGATAAAACTTTTTCTTTTCGAGCAATTAATTCTTAAATTTTCATCGTTTTCATATTTTTACAAAAGAAATGTCTAATGCGAAAACTTTCCAAGTTGAAAATTAAACACGTGGCAATAGAAAAGTTATCCAAGTACACAATATTGTTCTTACATGTACAATAGAATTTTGCTTAAGTTAAGACTGACCAGAAAATAATTGTAAGTTTTGTGGGATTGCCTGGTTCGTAAATTAAGCTAAATTTCCACAATTCCTTAGAGGGTATTCTACTCTATAGTCCAGCTTTAGCTTCATTATCATAATAAGGTCCTAAGACTGGTTGGACTCTCCTAATCTTCGCATTTTCTTAAAACTAGAACAACCCACATCCTTAACTATTGGTGAACAATAACCCTAGACAAAAATCTTCGGTCTTTCTCCAGTCTCTCAGAGTCTTTCAGCGTTTCTGAGAGCGTCTCTCACAGTCTCTCGGTTATTGCCTAGGTGTTTTTATGGATCTCTCACAGTCTCTGTATGAGAGACTCGAACGATAAAATTGTTAATTCAGAGATTCGAGTCTCTCACAGAGAGACTGAATGAATAAAACTGAAAAATTGAGAGACTCTAGTCTCTCGTAGAAAGACTGGGATCTCTGAAATATGTTTAAATTTTAACCATGTCTATCGAGACACCGCTTATTGAGAGATTCGAGTCTCTCGTTCAGAGACTGGATACGAAATGACGATCTCCCTATGAGCCACTCGAGTCTCTGGTTCAGAGTCCCTAAACAGTTTTTGGACAGTCTCTCGACAGTCTCTCTCAGCGACACCAGAGAGACTCGATGACAGAGACAGAGACTCGAGTCTCGCTTTCAGAGACTCTAAGAAAATGAATATTTTTATCTCGGGAATCTAATCTAGGTCTACCTCTACTCCTCTTAACTCCTGTTTCTACCTCTAATACGTGTCTGACTAGACCTTCATGCCTGAGAAGGTGTCCTACCAACCTATCTCGCCTATTTCGTATTGACTTCCATAGAGTCCCCTGTTCTCTTATTCTTTTTAATACCTTCTTACCTTCTCGATCCATGATATCCTTATCATTCGCCGGTAATACCACATTTCCAACGCTTCTAACCACTTCTTTTCCACTGTGTCCACTGTCCATGTTTCGCACCCGTACAGCGCCGTGCTCCAAACATGCACCTTTAACAAAAAAAAAACATGAAGCCCTTACGGCTCAGCTATTTAGAGGACATGTCAGTGCGTTTTAAGTGTCTTTTTAGCTACGTCTATGTGGCTTTTTCATTTGTTAAAGAACAATAGAAACCCGCAGTAATTTATCGCGCGCTTGTCATTGGCAACCGAAATTAATCCTAATTCTATATTAAGATCTCGGTAACGATACAAGCACTGGATATGGTACAACAATACACTGAGATAAGTCCCTGCATTGACTTTACCCCCGGTGTACCACCATTCTCGTCGCACCGTTCCGCGCCGAGCCGTATAGTTCAAGATAACATTGGAAATACATTGTTAATGGCGTGTCATAGTTACTGTTCTATATTATCAAACTCTAGATTGGCAACTAAACAATGTTGAATTAAAATAGGGAATAAAAAATGGGGTAGGTATGTCGTTAAGCGCCTTTTAGAGTTGGAAATCGTGAAGAATAATTAAATAAACATTAAATATCGAAATCTAACGTTTATTCATCCAAACTTTTCCGCCCTATTTCGGAATTTCAGAAGAACGAAATGTCTGCTGGGACACATAGTAGAAGTGAAACTTCAACGGACAAGTGGAGAAATGAATGGCAACGAACAAGTGGAAAAAATTTTTACGGGCAGATTGTTAATGTACTTGTCCAATTTGAAAACCTACTCCAAAAATCCTTGAAGTAAAAATTTTGTTGCGATTCGTTTTTCCACTTGTCCGTTGCCATTTGTTTTTCCACTTGTCCTTTGAAGTTTCACTTCTACCATGTGTCCCAGCACACATTTCGATTTCACAGGTTTACTGCAAATGATGATTTGATTTTTACACGGACCGCAAATAGAGGCAACGGTGCCCAGCCACGTAGAGAGCAGAGGTAAAAAAACAACAGCTGAGCACAGTACACGCCGCCGAGACTATAACGGACTCCCCGCTCTCCGCGCGGCTACGTATTATATCCATCTAATACAGCCGTTACCCTCCCTCCGCCACCGCCAGCCTATCTCTGCCTCCGCCGCTGCCGCCTATCACCACACGATACCGTTTACCCCCTCCAAGCGGCCATAACGCTTTTCGTGACAGAAAAAAAATTGTAATACCCCTTGTCTATATAGAAGTTTTACTTCAAAATCTCTCGATAGTGGATCCTAAAA